CCTGCTTCTTATGCCACATCCAACTTTCACTACCATACGGTAAAGTAGGGACCAACAGCATTGTGAATTGCCATACGTGCCTTTTTCGACACATTTTGACTCTTCACAAAGGAGTGTAGGGTCCCATTTACTCTATTGCCTGCATTCACTTGTCGTTCTATATCCTTATCACATCTCCCATCCCTGCTAAATACGCTACCCAAATATACAAACTATTCTATTTGCTCGATCAACTCCCCTTCTATTCTTATTTCACATTTCTTCTCTTTCAAAAACCATAACTTTCGTCTTACTTGCGTTCACTTTCATACCCCTTTCATTTAGTGATCTGTTCATTAATGTAACCATCATTTGCAACTCGGCCGCCGATGACGCAAGAATAACTTGATCATCGGCGTACAAAAGGCATTTGACGGTTAACTCACCCATTCTTAATCCGCATTCTTCAACTTTCAAATTTTGCAAACAACTGTCCATAAATAGGTTGAACAGCCACGGGGAAGCCACACAGGCCTGTCTGACACCTTTATGGATGCCAAACCAGTCCGAGTAGACCCCGTTGATCCTAACACAAGCACTAGAGTCTCTATAAAGAGACTCCAATGCCTGTATCAAGCCAGCGCTCAACCCAAATCCACTCTGTCATAGGCCTTTTCCAAGTCCATGAACGCACAAAAAACATTTTGGTTTTTGGCCAAAAACTTCTCCGCGATCATGCGCATGGAAAATACTTGATCTGTACATCCCATTCCCTTTCCAAATCCCGTTTGCACATCCCAAATTTTTCCATCAGTTTCTTTCATGACCCTTTCAATCAGTACCTTAGCATACAGTTTTCCCACAATGCTAAGAAGGCTGATACCACGGTAGTTTTTACAGTCCTGCTGCGACCCTTTTCCTTTATATACTGGGACTATCACGGCTTTGCACCAGTCTACCGGTACCCGCTTAAGTTCCCAGCATAAATTAAACAAGGTATGCAGCAGGCCTGCCACCACTTCTTCTCCATTCTCCAGTCCTTAGCATTTCAAGTGAAACTCTATCATATCCGGCAGCCTTACCTGCTTTCATGCTTTTCATTGCTTTCATTATTTCATCTATACTTATCTCCCTACCTCTTTCCTCTTCTCTTGGAGTTTCTACTTCATTTAATTCATACGTTGTCTCCTCACTCACAAACATGCTTTCAGAATATTCCTTCCATCTTTTTAAACTCAAAACTTCGTCATTCATAATAAATCCATTCTCGTCTCTTATAGCAATAATTATAGGCTGTTTTGAATGTCCCCTGGCAGTTCTTACAAGTTTCCAGAACATTTTAATATTCGCCTGGAAGTTATCCGATATTCTTCTATCATTCTTATCCGTTCTTTCTTGCTTTTTCCTTTCAACTACTTCTTTTACTCTCTTATTTAGATGTCTAAAGACTGCCTTTTTTTCTTTCAATATCATCATTCGTACCGCTAGAATAACCAGCCTTTGTTGCTAGTAAATCTAGCCATGCTCTCTTCTTTGGTTCAACTTCTATACGTATCTCATTATCCCACCATAACGTATTATTTTCCCTTTCATTCTTTCTCTTCCTAACACCACATGCTTCGGTAGCTGCATCCACTAAACCTTTCTTAACATTTTGCCATACATTCTCCAAGTCTAACTCATTCATACATAATTCATCCAAACCACTTATATTTTCTTTCAGTCTACATTTGAACTTGTTTTTCTCACCTTCATCTTATTATCTTTCTATTCTAATACACTGTAACGCAGTGGTAGAAACAGATGACCGATGGCGCCAACTCCTGAATAGACCATTAATTCGGCATAAAACCAAACATTGATCCGTAGTTAACGTAGGAAAAGTTAGACTCCCGGTAGACCCTTGTATCTTCCACTGCGCCCCTCATTCTTTCATCCACAATTATGAAATCTATCATGCTTCTATCATCACCTCTTTCCCAAGTATACATGTGAATTCTCTTGTGGCGAAAGAAAGTTTTCGTCACAAAAAGATTCTTTTCCATACATACGATGAGGAGGCTTTCACCATTCTCGTTTATGCTTTCATCACCAAACGTTCCCAATATCCTTTCATAACCAAGCCTCCTCACCCCAACCCTTCCATTAAAATTTCGTAGCATAATATTATTTTCATTTTCCTTACATTTCATTAACACCATCCTTACCATTTCCCAAAACTGCTCTCAGATATAAGTGGTCTTAGACATGTCTGGGGCGTAGACCCCTAGCAAAAACAATTTCTTTAAGCCCACTTTCATTCGTATCCATAGCAATCTTGGGCTTACACATTCATACTCTTTCACCCATTGGCCCATTCTTTCTGAAAGGATGATATGCGGATACATGCCATGTGTAGTGACATCCTTCCCCTTCCATTTCGTCTCATTTACACATAACACATCTATTCCTCTATCATACATCATATCGCATACTTCATCCATTTTGTTATTCATTGCCCCACATACATTCAACTTAGCCAGACGGGCCTCTGCAATCCACTTTTCGCCCCTCCGGGAGACAGCACGTTAGACATATCAACATAATTTATTGGTTTTGACACATAAAAAAAGATACTTTACTTAATATTTTATGAAAATCTAACCGGAATCATGAAATCTGAAAAAAAAAACAACAAACACGATATTTATATATCTATTTATAAAATTCCGTATAAATAACATATTTGAACTTGATTTGAAGCGTGTTAGCTCAAGGGTAGAGAGTACTAGAGCAACAAACAGGATATTTTATATTTATTTATCTTATAATAAATCAAATTCTGTATAAAAACTTAGAGTAGGATTTGAACCGTGCTAGCTCAAGGCCAGAGAGTACTAGAGCAACAAATGGGACATTTATTTATCCTATAAAAATTCAAATTCCGTATAACAACTTAGAGCATGATTTGAACCGTGTTAACTCAAGGACAGAGAGTACTAGAGCAACAAACTCGATAACAGTTCACCTGATGATAAATGGCCACAGGCTAGGCATTATTTTTCTGCCTAGGAGTCCGTGTGCCAAATAGCAGTGCTGCAAAGTGTACAAGAAGATACAGCTGAGATATTAGATCTTATTCCTAAGAGGTGACAATGCAATAGTATTCTTTGTTTGAAGTTGACCGCAGATGTACATAGACTGCAGTTTACTTACCATTCATCCATCGATTCATTACAGCCTATAACAGCCCACTGCTGAACATAGGCCCCCATGGATTGCCTCACAGGGGGATTTTGCCATTTTTTAAGTAGAATAAGGGTGACAAACGAGCACACGGTCCACCTGATGTTTAGTGGGATGCTGTGGCCCATAGACATATATACATTTATCCTCGATTAGGAATCAAAATGCAGATGCATCATCTACATTTATCCGCGATTGGGAATCAAGATGTAGAACCCCCGAGGATTAAAATGGAATGCTTCTTTTCCTGTAAAAAGGGTCGCCGGTTCTCTACACTCACCATACGAAACACAGCGGCATAGGGCTGCTATTTTACGCTGGTAACTTACGGCTGGTGTTGACACACTCGGTGAGCGGGTTGTAAACCGCAGTTTGTTTTAACTATTTTGAGTTGATATCAGGAAAATGCTGCCACTCACCTGTTTCAATTTCCCTCTGTCGCCTCTTACGACACCTACGGGATGATATGGGGTAGTGGATATTCTTACACCGACACCACATTCTTTACCGCAAGTGGATTTTAAATTAATTCTACACTTAAAAAGTCACTAGTTTATAAAGACGAACGAAAAACGCCTTACCGTCTGCCCTTACGCTGGCTCTCCTACCACTTAAACTTATATATTATATATTAAAACATATGTTATATATAAATAATAATAATAAAAATAAAAAATAATATAAACATATATTATATATTAAAACACAGCCATAAGTGAACTTCTTAAGTTAGCCTCTTACTTCCTTTTTTTACCGGTATGCAGTAAAAAAGGAAGTAACAGGCTAACTTTTAATAGTGTTTTAATCGTATAAAATAATCCTTCACTCCATTTTGTAAGAGCGTCACGATTAAGGTCAAATGGAGAAATCCTCCCAGCAAAGGGTGGTGCCCAACTCAGCTGTGGACTTTTATTGGCTAATGATAATGATGTGATTGAGGTACAATTTTATAACATACCGACAGGAAAATAAAAAAGAAACAAATAATTGACATATAAAATTAAAATTTACACAGTATAATCTAGATATTTTCTTTAAATAACGTTGAAATAATAAAGAGGAATAAGTTTAATAAAAGTTTAGATGTAAATGTTATGAAAATTAATTATGGAAATTAGTTTTTTTATTAAGGATTTATATGAAATTTTATACACTAGACGTGTCCGAGATAATGTTTTTATAAACTAATCTAAAAGAAGTTGCAAATTATTTAAAAGTATTTTGCAAGAAACATGAAGAAATAAAAATCTGCAAAACTTAATAATGCTTAATTTTGCAATGAAATTAAAAAAATATTATTACTCAAAGCTCTGGTTCTTACATATGTTAATAATCTGTAGTTTTTATTATTATTCCTTTTTTAATGTTTAATTTTCAGACAGTAACCATGAAAGCAGCTAGATTAGAGTAACTACTTTCATAGTTACTATCTGAAAATATGATCTTAAAAAAACTACACATTATAAACATGTCTTAAAACCAGAGCTTCATATAATAATGTTGCTTTTTAACTCCATTCCAAAATTTAGAATATTTCAGTTATGGTTTTTAGCACATAATTAACAACATGAGCACAATTATTATTATTAGAAATACATATATTTATTAGAAATATGTTGCTCATATTTTTATATAATATCTTAGTAAAATAATAAATATATGAGTGTCACAAAAATTTAAGTTGTTATTGGCAGTATTTAGGCTTATCTCGTATACGTGTTTTAAGGTTCTATAACGGAATATTAAAATTTACTGACAGATGTTTCAGTATAATTTTGTAATGAAATTTAACCTACCTTTCATCATAACTGCAGCAGCAACAAGTCCACCTAGACCGCCTTTCTTGCCTCCGCCTCCGCCAAGACCTCCTTTACCTCTAGCTTCACTCATCAAAGCCCTAGCTTCCTTGCTCGTGCTTTCATCTAAAAGCCTCAGCTTAACAGAATGCGTATCCAAATAATTTCCCAGTCTGTACAGAAGGTATTTATCCAGTCTTTCGTCGGGTTTCGAAGGTAAAGCTCTCGCTAATTCCGCCGCGAACTCCTCAGCTTTACTTGCATTTTCTTTTACCTCCTCCTTAACTACACTCACTCCAGGTAACAGTTGCACTTCCTCCTTCGAGTTCAGTTTTTCTAGAAGAGTTATAGCTTCAATTTTCAAGCATGTCGCACTGAAGATCCCGCCCGAACAATCCTTTCCCATAACTCTGGCTGCAGAATCCATGGTCGGCTCAATCGAATTCTCAAGTCCATCCCGCACCTCGGGATTAGGTAATGCAAACGTATACGTTAAGACCGACAGTAAATAAAAACAAAATGTGCTATACATTTTTGTCAAACACTCGCGTCTGTATGGAAACGAAGACGGATACAGTTTGATAAGGCAAGTGAATCGGACGGCTTTTATAAGTCTAACATAGTTGGATGATTGGTACTGTGTACTCCGGCTCCATTATATTTTCATAGAAGGCTGATTGCAAAAAGTCACAGTGTATATGCTAAACTATCCTTTCTAATGACAAAATAAAGATTATTTTCGCTTGTCTCACTTAGGTTTTGGTTTATTATCGTACGCAGTCAGTGGACTAGAGGGAATAGAGGATGACGAATATAAGAATTTAAAAAAAATGTTTTTAATTCTTCATTAAGTTAGATAGTAACATGTTATACGATTTAATTTGTAGTCCATTTAACTTTAATATTAAAATAGAACAATTATGTTTTTACACATTTATTTTGTAGATAAGTTTACATAAAATATTTTATAACGTCTTCTATAAATCATTTAGTAATCTAGCTTCTATTGGTGTATTAAAATGACAAAGTCTGTTCCAATTCCATCAGTTGTATTTCAAAAATGAGTTCTGACTTTAATTATATAAAGTGGTTTTTCTATTACCCAGCTTAGCGAATGGTCGACTGAATGTGGTTACAATAAAAAACTACGTCGTACTCTTTATGTAATAGAATGCCTTTTTCTATTGTAAATATATATTTTTTTATATTAATAAAGATGAATAGTACGAATACGTTTATAAGTATTAAAATAATTAGCACGTTTAGCATAAATACGCTCCTCGAAGGGAACTAGTTGTCCACTTACAGGATAAAAACATTAAGCAGCGCGTGTTTTACTTAGATAGGTCGTTGAGTAAGAGATTTTTGGATGACATAAATTGATTTTATGTATCATCATCATAATTTATTTATTTAACCGTTGATTATACACTTTATAATAATTGATATAAAGGATGGATTTTATCCCTCGTGACATTCTCTGCCACATTAAAGCCAATGGCTTTGTTATTGTACTCCCTATAATTTTAAACACAATTCCATAAAATTTTAATATAATTTTCCAGATTATTATCTAGGCATAGAAAATTATAATTTTAATATTTTTGCATGGTTGTGTAAAAGTATGATCGATCTATCTGAATCTGCCGCCGGAGGGGTCGGATCGTTATTGTGGCTGCGAATATTCGATATGCTGCTTCCAGAATAGGGTATTACACCCCATTTTCAAAAATTTTTTTTCTATGAATGTTAATGAAACACTATAATTTTTATATAATTTTTAAAACCGAATAGTGCCATAAATATTACTTTTAATCTATCTTAATTCTAATTATATATTTTTCGTGGTGTAAAATACCCTATTCTAGCAGGCCCCTCTTTGTAAAGCTCTCGCTTTTGGGTAAGCTTTCAATAATCCTAAAGTGAATAAAGAATTGTTATTCTTTTGAGTTTAGTACTCTCTAGGTGGTACTACTCCTTTTCTAGGTTGAAGTGGTATATGGTGGTTATACTCTTACCCTATCTGCCGCTAAATAGCAGTACTTGAACTGCTGTGTTCTGGTGTGGAGTGTGTTTGACATCCAGTATAATTACAGGCTGTGGGGCATTCTATCTAATTACTCTGAGTTTTTTATATGTGGGATAGGGTGACAAACGAGCACACAGTCCACCTGATGATAAGTGGTTGCTGTGGCTCATAGACATCTACATCTATCCTCGATTACAAATCAAAATGCAGATCCGTTGTCACCCGTGGGGACTAAAATGGAATGCCTCGTTACCAGTAAAAAAGGGTCTCCGGTTCTCTACACTTACCATACGAAACACACCAGCATTAAGCTACTATTTTACGCCGGTATTTTGTGAGAACGTGGTCCTTTCCCGGTCGAGCCGACCCATTTGTGCTACAACTATACTACCAATAGAACTGCAGCATGGCTCTACCACATATATAATATCTGTCGCCATCTTGATTTCAAGTTGGTTGGCGGTTCCTTTTATTGTAATAAATGTTGTAATTGATGTTAAGTATGCAAATAAAAAATACTTAATTATTTGAAATTTCTATTCCTATTATCGTATAGTGAGTGTCGTAAGAGGTGACATATGGAAAGATAAACAACAGATAAACGTCAACATCTTTCTGATAGTAAATCATGATAATAAAGACTGCGCTTGTCAACTTGATAGCCAAGCGTGGCAACTAGTCAATAATCTCTCCTATCAGGAGAGATGACAGTTCAGCAACAGAGAGCTTTGGATAGGCTTTATGGTAAGGGTAATACAGCCTACGTTTATTTTCAGCAGCGTACTGTTAAATTAGAATGACTGACTGACAAAATGCCGACTGACGTTAAGTTACAGCGACCTAAGAGGATCATTTAGTAAAAAAAAAGTAATGACAGTAATATTTTGTTGACATGTTTATTACAACTATGATGGACTCATAAATAAGAACTCTCTTAGTCGTGGACTAATTCTTTGTCTCTTCTCTATTTAAGCGTTTGCTCCGCTCTTTTAATAGAATAATGCCGAAATCAAAAGCTGCTCAATTAAAAGTTAACATTAAATACGTGCTGTAATGTGTTTAATAGGGTGACAAACCAGCACGCAGTCCACCTGATGGTAAGTGGTTGCTGTGGCCCATAGACATCTACATCTATTCTCGATTATGAATCTAAATGTGGATACGTTGTCACTCCTGAGGGCTAAGATGGAATGCCTTGTTTCCAGTAAAAAAGGGTCTCCGGTTCTCTATATTCACCATACGAAACACAGCAGTGTTAAGCTGCTATTTCACGCTGGTATTCTGTGGAAGCGTGGTTATTCCCCGGTTGAGCCGACCCATTCGTGCTACAACCATAATATAGCCGTAGCGTGGCTCTACTATGTAAGAACATCATCTACATATATCCTCGATTAGGAAGCAAAATGTAGATGCGTTGTCACCCTTAAGGACTAAGATGTAATGCCTTGTTTCCAGTGAAAACGGTCTCCGGTTCTCTAGACTCACATTACGAAACAGTAATGTATTTCACAGGATAACACGATACGATCAAGTATTATTTTACGCTGTTATGATGATCCATGATTTTTCTACGGTCGAGCCAACTATTCGTACTCCAACCATAGTATACACAGGTCTTGCGTGACTTTACCACGTTTTACACTAATTGTAAAGGAATACTAATAATTATGGTAGAAAGCATAAAATCTCTTTTGCAATAAAATGCTATAATATAAGGCTCTATCACGTATGTTAGTATTCTATAAGCACTTCTGTAAAAATGTATATCAAGAAAAAAAGAACAAATTGTATTTAACAGAATTAGATATAACAACTTTTACAGAGTTTGATAGTGTTCATTATAATATAATTTTTTTACTTAATATGTCAAAATAAATATCTTTTTTCTTTTTCTTAAGTCATTAATAAAATCACAATTATGCTACATAATATGTCTCATTACAAAACGTGGCTTAATGATAGGCTTGCGATTAAGCTGCGTTTTAATAAAAGTCTCAAGAAAGAAGTCTCTTAGCGGCAGCGTCACAGTCCGCAGTTTACACGAAAACATTCACATTAACATTTGCTGTTACATACTTTACATTTTAATTTGCATAATTTTCACGGTATCTCTTTAATGAAACAGAGAGTCTGTTTTTATCTATGTTTTTAAACTAGACTAATTATAATCAACTTATTGCAATAACTTAACCGCGTAGTGACGGAGTAAGAATATCCACAAATCCATATCGTTTCGTGAATGTCGAAAAAAGCGACAGAGGGAAATTGAAACAGGATTTACGCATCATCGTGATAACTACTCAAAATAATGATTTCTTAAATTTACGCGAACACTACACATTGAATAAAACTAAATTTTCGGATTATATCGCGTTTATTTAACTGATTTTACTTATTTTACTGGTGCTTTACAGCAACCATGGTCACGGGGGGGGGGGCACTGAGATGTTTGACGTCCCAATGTCATTGTTAGCCCGGCTACCTTCAGTTTTTGAATATTAATTTTTGGTCCGATTTACGCAAAACGAACTTACAGTATCTTGAAGTCTTGTAGTGGTATGCTTGGGTTTGGGTTTAATTTTGTTAATTATAGGATCCCAAGAAAATGGCAGCACCCAACCATTATTGAAATTAGGATGATTTTTAATTTCAATAGCCTCGCGTATCATCCTTGGTAGGAATCGGTGTTCTTTTGCGAGGATTTGTGGTTTATCAAATCTGATGTAATGGTGGGGACGATCTTGAACATGTACACAGACTGCAGACTTCCCGGAGCGTCGGTGCTTCACGTCAGCTATATGTTCTTTCACGCGGGTTTTTATGGATCTTTTTGTTTGACCTATGTAAGAGAGACCACATTCACAATCTAACTTGTACACTCCTGCATCTTGTAGAGGGATATTACACTTGACGGATGGTAAAAATTGACTAATCTTCTTCGCCGGCTTATAGTATGTTTTAATGGAAGTTCGCTTCAAGATGTAGCCAACCTTGTCTGTGACTCCTCTGACATATGGTAGTACAGCAGGCACACGCTCGACTGTGGCCGGCTTCAACGTCGGCCACAGTCGTCGGCCGAAACGTCGGTAATTAAAAATAAGTAAAATCAGTTAAATAAACGCGATATAATCCGAAAATTTAGTTTTATTCAATGTGTAGTAAATAAATTTAAGAAATCATTATGTGAACCAGTACGGACCGGTAATAGCAAATAAAATTCGCCGATTAGAGGATCTTAAAACCAAGCGCGCAAGATATATAACATCTTTAAATTTCTTGAAGAGATGCAGAGACCATAATCTCATTCCTACGTGTGTCAAAATATCAACAAAAAAGGACATTCGAGGAAGCGCTAAGATCTTGAATTAGGCAAGTAAAAAAGTTGTTACGAACGGTGA